AAGTTAATTTTTAAATGCATTGATTGAATAATACTTGAAGGAAATTTTATTCAGTCCAAAGTGTTTACAGCTTCAAAATAGTTATTGTTTCTTTAAGTACCACTTAAAAGCAGAAACAATGATGAAATGTCATTTAAATTTTACATTCACTAATTTAAATGCCTATGGAAACCATAAAAGAATGTGTAGAAGTAAACCGATAGTTCATTAAAAAAATTTTTTACAGGTTTGATATAAATTTAAATCAATCATCTCATTCTAATCCTGTAATGTTTACTAAGCTGTTGTCTTTAAAAAAAAAAAAAAATTAGTTCTTTTTTTTTTCTTTCATTTTACCATTCTTTGCCACATTTCATTCTCTTTTGATTAAAATTTAAAAAAATTTCTTTTCTTATTCATATCAAGTTTGTAGTAATAAATAATTATATCAAATTTTGAGTAAAACATGAAAAATATTATTATCAAACATTGAAGTTAATGAAAAAGAAAAAAAAAAAATCGTGCCAAAATATTAGGGAAAAAATGAAAGCGATGAAAAGATTCATTAATTCACAATTGTCAATAATCCGTTTGAATTCAAAAATGTCCGATTGATCTTCTAAAACATTACTGTTACACCAACGTATCATTTTCATTCTAATTAAGATCCTTAATCGCTTAATGCAGTTGTAGCTTAATGATACTAATTTCTCTTATATTCATTTTTCTTTTCTTGTTCTAATATTCGCTTATCTTTTTTATTTTCAAACTATTTTCTTTTAATTTTTCTTCTATTATTATTTTATTAATTTTTTTTTTTTTTTTTTGAAACTTTAATATGCAATTCTATGATTTGCTTCTGTGAAAAATGTTATTAGATAGGTTTAATTTGAGCAAGAGGAAATTTGTAAGGATTTATAAGCAATGTTGTTTACGCTTAATATTTTCTTTCGATACGAAAAGGGAAAAATTTAGTTCAAAAATTTCACGTCGTCGGAATTATTCGATGTTTTTACTTTCTCTGTAATTCTGTTTATTTCTTTCAGTTTGTGTAAGAAATCACTACTCAGTCGTGTCCCAAGCATTACTTCATTCTGCAATGATATGACGGAATCAAAACACAATGGTTTGCCAATAACTCCAACATTTATGGATGACAAACAAGCTGGTAATTGTCAGGTGACAAATATGCATGATATGACACGTTTACTTATAGTGGCGTTCATTCTTTTCTGTAGATGAATATTTCAAATAGTTATTCTAATCTTTCATATTGAAAGGTAATGCTACATTCAAATTGACATCAATAAGATAGATTGATTCTCTAAATAGTCTGAAATTACAAGTTCAGGAAGATGATGAATGTTCCGTGAAACATTATGAATCCGGTTTTTGCGAAAAATCTCCTGATCTCTGCTGTGTTAGAGGAACATTAACATTTTCGCTTCGTTATGATTTCATTCATCGTGTATTAATGGTCCACGTCATTCGAGCTAATGGTATCCCTGCTGAAGTAAGATTTGAAGATTTTTTTTTGAAATCAGTTTCATAAATTTTTAAATTTTGGCTGAAAATATATTGTAGGATTAAATTATTATTGCCTTAACTCTTGTCCTGGATTCTTTCTTTCTTATTAATCACCATAAAAACTCAGAATTCGGAACCGTATGTAAAACTTTGTCTATTACCGGAAAGACGGAATCAATATAAAACTCGCATTTTCAAAAATTGCTCTGATCCAGAATGCAACGAAATGTTTTCATTTGATGTCAGTCATGCCAATTTATCAAGCAGAATGTTACAGGTAAGTTTTTTTTTTTAAGAAAACTATTTAACAGTAAGTAATTTCCTGCTTTCTACATGAATATCTAAAACCTATTCCATTTAGGTTAATTAAAGAATAGTTAATCCATCAATTAATATCACTGCTGTGAACTACACATTCCTACTCAATTCATTAACTTCTCTTTGGTTTGTGATAGGAAAAAATGATTGATAAAATTTATAAAAATAAACTGTTGAAGTGAAAATGATCAGTACTACCTTCAACTAATTATTATCGCAATTGATCATTCTGCAATCGATCTTGCAATAATCTATGATGACGAAATATGTAAGGAGTTTATGGATTTTTTACAGTTCACTGTGTACAATTTTGTTCGTTTTACGCGACATGGTCTCGTAGGTAACGTCATCTTGCGTGATTTGTTCGAGAAATCAGAGCTTAGCACGTGGACTGAACATACTATGCAAATTATCGGCACTCCGGTTTGTTTTCTGTGTCAAATGATTATTCACTCAGAATTTTGTGTTACTTTGACAATGACATTCTTTTTTAGGGTAAAGATGATTTCGGTGACTTATTGGTTTATTTGTCATATTCCATAGCTGATCGAAAATTATACGTTACGGTCTCAAAAGCATATAATTTAAGACCAATGGATATTACCGGTGCTTCAGGCAAGCATTAATTTTTTTTAGCACTCGATAAAATTCTTAAAAAGAGTCATAGTAATATGGCTAGAGTAAGTTCAATCCATCCATATGTGATGGCGGTTTTTAGAAACTTGCAAATAACCGCACCATTCTTTTTAAAATGCTTTGGCTTTAATTTATGCTTTTTCTAATTTTTTATTTCAATTTAATTTGTTCACACAGTTTAGAAAATGAAAAGAAATAATTCTGCTTGACATTATGTCAACAACAATGTTACTAATAAAAAAGAATTTAAATTTATGATTTTCCTTTCAGATCCTTATGTTAAAATCGAACAAATTTATCAACGACGACGTGTGAAAGCACGTAAAACGTCAATCAAGCGAGCTAATTTAAATCCCGTATATCACGAGTGCCTCGAATTTGACCTTCCTTTGAATGAGATCGAAGGAACTGATTTATTAGTTCGCGTAATGGATTGGGATAGGTAAGAATTAGTTCAGAATATTGCTTAAATTATTGTTATTTATCAAAGCCAACAGCATTTATTGATCTGTTTAACAATGAAAACAATTTTAATTTTAATTACTTGAATCTGCTGTTAACATTTGTTTAAAATTATTTAAAACTTTGTACTTTATAGGATTGGTCATGATGATTTGCTTGGTTGTTGTATCATTGGTAATAATAGTCCAATGCCAGAAGGCAGGAAACAATGGATGGATTGTTTCAGGGATTTAACTATTAATGCGATTTGTGACGACTCGGTTGGTATAAAGTTTAACTTTCCTTTTTCATTGGCAATTTAATTTAACTTTCAGAGATGAAATTTAGGAGCTTTTATAAACCAATACTCGTGAAATGATTAAGTTATTTTAGTCATTTTTGATCATCGCATTATTTTTATATATGAACAATTGAGATAAAAGATATACATCAGTTTTTGATGATGTTTGCATAAATAGAATCCTTGCTAGAAGTGCTCATTATGGAATGTTTGCATAAATAGAATCCTTGCTAGAAGTGCTCATTATGTTAAAAAGATTTCAGGATCGTCAACCTGTTGGTACCTGGTATAGTATTCTGGATGAAGTACCGGAAGAGTTTCGCAAAGTTCCAAAAGCGAAGAAATGAGATGTGAGAATTAATAAATGAAACCTTTGCACTAAGTAGGATAACCGGCCAAGAAAGAAAGGAGATAATGGAGGGAGAAGAATTGATTAAAGGAGATCGACCAGTTGTCACATAAAGATAATTACGAGCAGCTCATTGAAAGAAATCGTAAGATCGTTGTCGAATGTGTGAATGTCCAAGCTGTAGAGATAGATGATGCTGAAGTAATGAGAAGAAATGAAGGAATCTTTGAGATGTATTTTGATTATGAAAATGGTTCGAGACTTTACATATAGTGAGAAAGGAGGAAAAAAAAGAAGCTCAGAAAACTTTTTTTCACTTGAAATTTTGAATTATTTCTCGACACTTCTTCAGAATATTAGCAAAGAAATTCTCTCATGGAACTCTCATACTTTATCGATCGCTACATCATTTCACTGAAGCTTTATAATGGTGTCTTATCTTCTATACTTTTTTTGTGTCTTTTCTCAATTCAGATTTTATCGATTCATTAAGTTCTTTCGATTTGACAAAAAAAAAACACGAAAGGAGAAAGATTTTTTCTTCATTTATTCTTGAGAAAATCTTAATTTATGAATTTATATGACGAATTATAATTTTTTTTTTCGAATTTTCCTTTTTACCTCTTAATTTGATTTTCTATTTGAGCTCCTCATTTGGAATTTTATGCAATAATAGTTTTTCTAGAAAAGTCACTCAAAAGTTAGTGACTTTTTAACGTTAAGTTTACAAGAAAAGTTTCTTCTGCGTAAATATTTGAGTTTTCCGGAAAGCCGAAAAGTGTGTTGTTCATACGAATTTGTGTTCAATTCCTCTTCAAATTTGTGACGGAAATTAGAACTCAACGTTTTTTCGTTTCGGAATACGGGTTTATTTCCGTCTAATGATTGCTTTAAATTATTATTTTACTACAAATGAACGCTTACATAACATGAAATTAATTAAATTAGACATCGCATAGCGATCTCTCAAAACTTATATACCCAATAAAAATCCATGCGAGATGAGCATTCACCTATTACGGTTATGTTTATCATTGTTTTTGTTAGTATTATTGACATTCTGATAAATAACTGATTGTATCGCATTACACTCTGAATCTAAACTTTCCAAACATATTAAAATTGATAGAATGGACTCTGTGAGACAACGGTTTTGTTTATGAGCACTAAATGACAGAGAACCCAGTAATCAATAGTGACAAAAATATACCTTTGGTCACATTATTGGGGACAGAGACATACTGATGCTTACCAAAGGGCTTAGTTCTCACCGATATTTTGTGATGAAATGTTGAAAATTTTGAAGTGAGATTATGTAATCACTGCAATTTACTGCTAATGAATTGATGCTAACATGAAAAAAAAAATTTTAAACGTTTCCCAAGGAAAAATTTGAAAGTGCAAAGCTTTCAAAGTACACATTCCAAAGTTTCTACTCTTTTTTATAAGCTACTGTTCTTTTATATCATCAACAATTTCCTCGTCGAATGCAATATTTTCAAAAGTTGAACTGTATTCTGACGCTGAATTCATCGAAGAATTCTGAAATGAGCAACTCGCAACGTTTTATTGCAAATTTTACAAAAAAATTTCTAGCTAAAATTCGAGATTTCAATAACCTGAACATCATCTCTGATAGTATTGGAAATAGATCCTTCATTACGCAGCAATTCAAGTTCATCTTCAGTTTTCGCACCCCTCCAATGAACTGCTTCATAGACTGAATTTTGTTTCGACAACCCTCGAAAACTAAAATTGTTTATTTAGCGTTTCTCACAACTGAAGGCTTCTCAAATTCTAGTTGAATTAAAAAGATTATAATTAGTCCCACTTTAAAGGTAGGCAGTCAGTACAAGTGCTTACTTGGTAAAATCGAAATTTCGCCTAATTGTCAAGATGACTCCAATGACAACTGCACCAACGGCAAGCAGTAAAATGAGAGTCAGTATAAGATCATCTGAAGTGAAAATTCGAATGTCATTAACAATCTGATGTAGAAAATTTGAAATTATTCGAGTGACTACGAGAAATTACAGACTTCCAAACCCGGAGAAAAAAAAAAAAGACTGATGAATTTAAAGAATACCTTTAACCAAAGTATGAAAATCCACCGAAACTATCTCTTCAATTTCGGTCACTGTCATTGAATGCAAAACTTCTATAAATTTTTTAACTGGTTCAATTTAGAAATCGATCGATAAAATTTGCATCTTTGCTGCATCCCTATTAAAATTTTTTACTAACTTTTTAAAATTTTGAGAAAAAAAATTTGAGGAAAATTAGTACTGCTGAAAACCACAAATAGATTAATCAGCGATATTGATATCACCAATATAGACAGATTAAAGATGAGTTTTGTGAACCTCTTTGTCTAAATTAATTTACCTCAACATAACATAAAATTTTTGGCTTATCTAAATTTGATTTATATTTTATAACTTAGCAAGTATTACCATAATTATTCTGCACAAATCCGGCTAAATCTTTCAATATGCTACGATAGATTTGTTCATCGAATGGATGTGTTGCGTTCTGTCGTGCAAGAACAACGACCTCAACAATAAATTGTACACAGAGACTAAAGTTAAAATTGAAAGTGCAGAAAACATGGCATTATTTAATTATTATTTTTTGCTTATTATTTATAAAATACTTGTTTCCTCTGCTGATATATCCCAGATCTAAATGTTAGCCAAGTGTCCCATTCAAGTTTCTATCTTCGATGAAGTCCCAAATTATAAGGAAGAATTTCACTTGATTAAAAAGTGCCAACATTGCAACTTAGTCTATATTTGTCAAATTATTTACAAACTATGTTAATTTCTGAACTTAAAAAAAACTTTAAATAAATTATTAACTCGTGCAAATGGACAATAATAGATGTAAAATATATGTAAACTAAATTGTAGTTTCTTCATAAGAGATAACAAAACGATTCGTAATAAACTTTGTTATATTTTTTTATCACAGCATTCTCATTTTTCATGCTACCTGGTATTGCGGCAAAGAATCATTATGATCGATACGTAAACTGGCAATATTCAATTCGTATTTATTCACGATTCTATTTTCCTTTTCATAATTTTCGACTTGTTTTTGAAATTTGTCAAAGTTGAATAATGTTGCGCGAAAACGAAGCATGGAACCTAAGAGTAAAAATAATGATACTAGTGCATATTTCTGGATTTCAAATCCCGTAGGAAATTCTTGCTAGGAAATGGTAGTAGTGACAATGATTATATTAGCAGCAAATATCTAAATTTCAAATCCCTGAAGAGTTTCTTTGTAAAATATCCCACTTCATCTTTACGGAAAATTTCTGAAACTGAAAACTATAGAAAGCATCGAAATTTGCATAGCATCGAATTTAAAAAAAAAACTAAATTCTATGAAAGTACATGAGAATGCTTACTTTTTTTCACTGAGAAAATACCAAATCATAAGGGAAAAGAAAAAACTTTAATGAAAAAATCTTCCAGCAATTTTTTTCGTTTTTTATGAGTAATAAGGAAGAAAAAAGAACAAGAAACAATTATTATTGACAGTGCTAAACTAATTACTTACTTCTTGGGTCGATGTTTTGACCTATCAAAAGTACGGTCTTTAATAAATGAAGCAATATCTATTACCCATTTTCTCTCCTTCCTCTAATTATTATTTTAGATCCAATTTTCAAGCTTACCACATATTTCGCAGCAATGGCCAATTGGTTGAAGCATTCGACTGCATTTCGGTGCTGTTTTTGATTGGCACTGTTGATAGGAACATATCAAAGCCAATTTCTGCAAGTTGGCCTAAGTAAGTTATGAACACTTTCCAAGGCGGATCTCAGTTAAAAATTATCATATTTTTTTTTTCATTCCGTAATTTGTACAACAGATTCCATAGAGCTGGGATTACGCAATAAAATGGTTACAGGTCAAGCAATCAACAGGTCAATGATTGTCCATTGATACTGCAACTTTGAGTTTGGAAAGAAAGAAAGTAACATTTTACTCGAATCGAATTCCTAAATTATCACAAAATGAAGCAAATCATTGATTTTGGTATGCACTCATGAAATTTTCAAAAACAATGCCTGATCAATTGCAGGCTTTAAACATCAAAAATGGAATTGCGAATTTCTCCTTTATCCGTCGTATTTTTTAACTGATCGCTCCTAAGCAGCAAATCATCTCCTACAGAAAAACGTTTCCACAAACACCGATTCGGAAAAAATTTACAGCAGTTCATCGAATTTTGAAGCACAGATTTTTCTGTTAACATGTCAGCTTACTTTTTTCTAGCTAATTATTGCAATCTATACATTGATTAATGTTTATAAAACTTAAAAATTCTAAACCTTTCAAAAAATTTACGAAGAATTAAACTTTAGAATCTGAAATAGTAATTCTGCACAAATTGATTACTTCGGCTTCCAAATTGCTATTAAATTGACCAGCACTGTGTTTCGCTTCTGTTTCACCCATAATTGTTACAGTATTCCTGAATTTAGGCCATTGATAATTGATGCCATTAATTCTTCGCTCAGATTTAAGCTTCGGTGCCAAATCAAATTGATATTGACCTTCGACAGATGGCAAAAAGGAATCATTGAAGGTCTCATTGCTCATATTCTACAATCAGTGCATTCAAATTATCATCGCATAAGCAGGAAATTTTATCATTTTATCATTTTGGTCACTATTAATCAAATTAAACCATAGAAAAACACGTGCAAGTTTAGTTTATGATGAGTGGTCACTGAATAGATGACTTATCCTTTAGTGAAATTCTCTCACTAGATAATATATCATAATATCTAAAAAATGTGGTAAAGACTAGAAAATTTTTAATTTTATTCCAGAAAAGAAGATGTATCTAAATGGTAATCATTTCAAAGTGTCTTGTGTCAAAATCTCAGTTTAAAATTTAATTTTGATAAATCGTATTTCTGACTATTTGACATCCACCATTATCACTTCATTTTCAATATTTACTTCATTGCTGCTGAAATTGAATATTTTCGTTTTCAAAATAACAAAAATATTGCTCATTTATTGCCTATTGAAGAAAATAAAAAATATTCAGTATGCGTGACTTCAAACTCTTTTAAATAAACATATTTACTACACTAAGACTCATTTTCCTTATTTTTTATAGTGTAAGGATCTGCCGAAAATTTTCTTAGAAAAGAGAGAAAACAAATCTAATATTATCGAGTTTATTAATAATCTTTTTTTCCAAAATTTTCTTCAAAATTTTCAAAAATTTATCAAAAATTAACAGCTTGATATCAACATGTATGCCTTTTTGCAAACAGCAATAAATCAAATGTGTAGGAGCAGTGTTTTAAATTTCGAGGTGAAGGATTTTTTAAAAACAAACAGATCAGTGTTTTAATGGTTTGTCATTTTAAACTGGAAAGATTTATTGATTATCCTGATAAATAAATCAGATTTTCTAGAAGTGAAGTTATAGGTACTTTTATGGCATGATCGAGAGTGGGATAGAATGAGTAAAGCTATAAGACTTGAAGAAAATGTTATTTCTTTCAAACAAAAGCTATTTTCTGTTTTGGATATTTTTAACTTTTGTTGCAATTATCTGCAGACTATTGAATTCTTTCATTTTTCATTAACTGTTTCAAAATTTTCTGGCTATTCAAAATTGAAATGACCGAAAAAAAGTTTAAGACTTTGATATAGATAAGAAGTAAAGAGTTATCAATAGTTGACATATCATCATATTTCGACCTCATAATATTTTTGAAACTGAGATTTATTGTCTTAAATTGCTAAGATTGCTAAGACACTAATATTGCTATAACACAGAATTTAATATAATAAAAGCAAGTGAAATGTTAGGGTGTATCCTGAAATTAACTTTTTCCAAAAGATCAAGTACCACTATCTATGAATTATGAGTTGAATTGGTTATAAAAAGTAAAAACAAGAGAAGTAGACAAAAGAAGTTTCAAAAATTTTAAAAAGCTAATTCATGCTGTTGAATACAGCTAAAGAAACGAAATCAAAAACTTTCAAACAAAAGTCAAAAAAATTTTTTTTAAGAATATTTAATAGAATTGTTTAGCACTGTGTAGTAAAGAGTTTTCAAGTTGAACTTTATCCCTTCTATGTTATTTATTCATTACTGATAAAACAAAACGAGATCATTACTTCTAAGGCAATTTATAGCGTCATAATTTGTAAATCTGATATATTAATTGAAATTTAATATGTTGCCATGCTAAAAAGACACAGCAAAACTTGAAAAACAAGTAATTGAAACTTGCCTGACCAGCCAGTATTAATGCACCAACTGTAACAAAATCTTCCAACAATATTCGTGTACCACTCTCGGATGGAATTATCGCAGTATCCTAAAGAAGCAAAGTACAGTAGTGAATAAAAAGATAATTAGAATTCCCTTATAAAGGTAGCATTTCATATTCTTCCAAAATTTAAACGAATTTTTATATGGAACTTCAGGAGACAATGTGCTCTAACAATGATTTATGTCACCTGAGATGATGGTATCTGAAGGACATGCAATGCCGGTTGCCACTGAATTCCGTTTCTAGACACTATCCAGTTTGATCCATTATAGAAACTCAGGGGTAGACTTTGTTTGAAATATACGTCTGCAATTGCATCTACTTTCACCTTATTAAGTATGAAAAATGAAAGTGTGTGAACTTTAGTTTTATCTATTTCCGAAAAAATTCATAGTCCTTCTCGTGAAAGAATCAATACGAAGATAGGTTTTTATTTTAACAATATTCATTCTTCAAATTATTTAATAAAAAGAATCAAATTGTTTAATAAAAATCAGACCACTTTATGCTTTTTTTCACTTTAGTTAGGAAAAAAAAATATTCCAGAAAATTTTTCAATGGTTTTGATTCTTCGAAATTTTAATTTCACTGAAAAAGAAAATTTTTCAAAAAAAAAAAATCAGGAACTTTGAGCAAATTTCGTACGAAAGTCTGTCATTTAATTAAAATCGAATTTTTCTACTTCATTTGATATTGCAGGAAATTTCACCTTTTGCATTTTGTCTTTCCTTACACTGCCAATTGCCGAGCTTTCCCAGTTCAGCCCCGTTACCGAAAAATAAAATCCCATTAGTTGGAAGATCAATTTTTTGCGAGTGTAGGCCAGTGGCAATTGACGCTACAGTAATTTCTCTTTCATCGAAATGAATTTGGTCATTTTCACATGGGCTAATATTGTCTTGCCAATATTCTGCTCTTTCTAGAATATTTGCCCTGTGGAAAATATAATTTAAACATTGAATATTTAGTGATGGAAGTAATAATAATAATAGTATCACTGTATGAATATTTTGAAGCATTTCTAGCATCTGCAATTAATTAATCTTTATAGCGAAAGATTAAAAAGATTCTAATTACTTGCCTACACAGTATCATCCAGACAGAGTTGGTACTCGACAGATTAATCAAACACAATTAAAGCATTCTTTGAAGATGTCAAAGAGTACATACTGCTATCAATGATAATGATAATTTCTGAACATATTGATGATTTTGATTAATGCGCTAGAAATTCCGGCATGTTTTATTTTACATAAGGAAAAAAGTCATTGGCATCATCAAAGATTGATTGTACAAAATTTGTGATAAGTGAGGAAAATTTTCAAGAAATAGATGGAATAATTAACTTGAATTTCTAAAAAGTCTTACCAAAGTCATTACTACTAATTATTTAGCTATTCAGGACAATTACTCTTGCATTAATTATTCAGCTATACATCATTATCAAATGGTGTTGCAGCATTTTGGAAAAGTTGCGCTCATAGATTCATTCAACAAATGCTTGATACTTTTATACAGTTTCAAATACGAAATATATGAATTATTATTACAATTGATAAAACATCACTAACTGTTTAAGTAAGGATTAAAGAATGTCAGAGGTAATATTGTTAGGTAATCATACAATATGTCTGTAATCAATGCATGTGAATATCTACAACCACTGGTTTTTTTTTTTTTTTTTTCAACTGATATGCAAAACAAAAATATCAGTGATGTTCTCAAGGGATTCCTGTCGAATGAACTTATCAATATTTACATAATATTTTGCAACGAACCGTTATGATCACAAAATGACCGTTAGTGGATAAAATTCAACTAAAAATAGGGAGAAGAAAGTAAAAGATCACATCAACTGCAATCAGACAAATAAATAAAGTTCACGAATTTTGAAATTAAACTGAAGACTTATCATTTATAAAATAGGTGCAAGATAAAATGGAACAGAACCAATGACATAAACTATAATGCCATAGTACTAAAAATTATTGATTTTCTCAGTTTGTTCGACTATAAAATACTTGCATAGATGAAATAAAAGTAAGTTATAAAGTTATCCCCTTAGCGCACCTATGAGAACAAAAGATTTCGATAAAAGATTTTGATAAAATTTCGAAAAGTTACGATTCTTCCAGGTAATTAACAACGACTTATCGAGATTGTATGTATCATAAACGAGAGCAATAATAGGATATCAATAATTATCATTAATTAATCATCATTAAATGGCATCAACACATGCCATTGTGCAACAGAACGACGTGGTGTCGCGAGGACATCCTGCCATTGCTTCAGCGCTACACCGTTTGCATTATTGCCAATGATAACGTGACCGATACGTTCATTCGAGCCGACTCGATCGTAATCCGAAACTGTCACTTGCAAATGCACCCGCTGAAACGGATTGTTTATATTAAACTGACTGAAATTTATTATCAGCTAATTAAAAATTTAGAATGAAAGCAACGCGTAGAAGTGATTTTTGTACTGACATTTTCAAATTTGATTTTATTTCAATCTTACTTTAACATTCTTTTTTGATATATTTAAGAAGTAGTGTGTAGAATAAGAGAAATCATTTTGTAATAATACAGATGGTTTTGAACTTTTCGTTATTAAATTCGCTACAAATAAATAATGATAATGCGATATTTGTTCAAGTGAAAGAAGTATGGAACTATTTCTGTTTAGTAATTATATGAAAATAACAGAGCTTTAACGTAGTATTTTCAATGATTCTTATCACATATTTATTTTGAATTCTCAAAAATTTAAATGTCTGAAAAAAACTTAATAAGTCATTGAACTTTATTCACCTTACCTGCATTTTCTCTGGGCTGACATCAAAACTGAATGACTCATTATAATATGGATTTAATGTTTTCATCTTAATTGTTGTTTTCTTTTTTTCTAATCGTTTCTTTTGCATCATCAAATAAATTTTAACGTATGGATCTGTAAAGCAAAGCAAAATATTCTATGTACCATCAAAACTAACTGAATAATTGCATATGAATTTAAGTTTGAATGATTTAATTTATTATTATGAAATTATTTGAAAAATTGCGAAGTGCTAAACAATCTGATTTATGTCACCAATTAGATTTAAATGGGAAAGTTGATAATATCACATCTCAATACTGTGACACTCGTACGACATCATATAAATTTAATAAGTGCTGTAAATGTTATTGCGAATTTGAAAAATGTACTAACCTGATAGACCAAGAACGTCCATCTTTTTCAAATTTTTGCATTCCATTACAACAACCGTTAATTTATTTTTATTCGGAACATAACGAAGTGCTAAGCATACTTCACCTAACCTATTTTCCTGAAATTATTCAATAAATCTTATATTTTCGTATCTTATTTGCCCTTCGGTTGAGTTGTCAAAAGTTATTACTTTAAATTTTAATTTGCTATGCATCATATTTTCCATTCATACCAGAAAGATTATTAGTAGGTTGAGCTGTACTGAAGAAACAGAATTCAATAATTCCTATCTGCAATCGATTTTCAGTAACTACCATGTAGCAAATTAAAATATATTTATAATCTGAACAACACAAAAATATCCTCCAATTTTTTCAAGCTATTAATTCCATAACGATTCTCATACAGAAAAATGAAAAAATACCGGGGGAGTTTGGATCAAGTCACACCTCTCAATGGTAGTTGCTAGATCTACCTTTCCAAGAGGTACTGATATTTCGCCTATCTGAAATTACTATGGCTGTATATTGCTAGATTCCCATATTTCTTTTTCTGACTTCTGACCCTATCAAAATCTTAAAATTTACAAGTTTTTTGGAATACAATTGTAAAAGCATACACTCACAGCTTAAATAATAAAAAGTAGCTTTACTAATCGATAAAGGATGAAGAAATTTGATTGACAACACATTCTTTACAAATAGATTTGATTGACAGAGGTGCAGTAAGATTGGACTTACTCCAGAAAGTTCATAAATTAATGTTTATTCCAAAATTCTGAAACGAATATCAAAGATCGTGATAAACAATGTTTACCTGACCATGTTTACCGAATCTATCAAAATCAAAAACGCTCATAATCAGCGTTTGACTGCTGATTTCGTTGTATGGTATCTGAAGATTATATAAATTAAAAAGGAATGAGATGTTTGACTACTTCAAAAAGCTTATTTAAAAGGCATAGGCATAATCCTTATGGTAGTTGTAGATAAAGTAAACATGAAAAAGAATTTAGGGATAGTTTCATAGACGGAAATGAAAAAAAGGTTGCTAAATGCTTATTTCTATTTCCAATGCACTAATTTATATATTTTTTTGATATTTAATGGCGAAGTTAGAGAACAGTCGAGCAAAATGCTATTCAAAATAAACTTGAACCAGTCGTAATGAAGGTGACCAAAAGTTAAGGACCTTTGCTAAGGACTTATTTTTCTCTTACTGATTTGTATAAATGAATTGCAGAAAGTTAATCGTTATTTCTCCACCCCATATTTCCATTTTAGTGCTGTTTTTTGCTCTTTCTTTCGCATCCAAATTTTTACTTTTTCGATATATTTGATAAGTAAACGAAAAATTTATTGAATTAACAATCAAATACATCCAAAAATTTCCATTTTTAGAACAACCTAGGTTTCTTAACTTGGTGTTGGTCTAACTTTTAGAAAGTGAATTTAGATGTAAGCACTATATTTGACTATTTAAATTAATTGGAGCAAAAATTATGATTATATTAATGAAAGATAAATTTATTTCTTTCAGAAATTCTTGCATCAGAATTTGACGAATGACATGGAAAGTAATCCCTGCATTCTTGTGAATGGTTATAGATAAAAAAAGCTGTCGAGATACATGTAAATGTAATAAATTATTGGTATATAATTCAATTCATTCAAAATTTAAAGCGTTCCTTGCAAGCGCAAGAGTTATTGTAAGGATAAATTGCTTTCTTCTAGTTGATTAATGCCAATTAAATAACGATTGTTGAATTCTCAGATAGGACAGTTTTAACGGGATCAAATGATTGGAAGGCAAATATTCTGAAAGGGTTTCAGAATATTTCAATTCAGCTTTAGCAAGCATTCTATCGCCTCTTTTCCGCCCACAACTAAGTTGGCTCTCCTTTTACCGTATCTCATTTTTGCTCAGAACATAATCCGTTTGATTCAAAATGGTGATTTTACATTTTTAAAATGCTGGATGTCTGTAGAACAAGTGGACCTTTTTCTCCGTCTTCAATTTTCTTGACTGGTCAGTGCCAATTCCAGCTCCTAAACGGCTACCGTTCCTAATTTTTAGAATTGATCTTGCATCTTTGCATAATTTCTCGAATTCTCAGATATGGCAGTTTTAACGGGATCAAATGATTGGGAGGCAAATATTCTAAAAGGGTTTCAGAATATTTGTCTTTTGTCTAATAACCTCCTATACTTCAAAATAAAGGAAAAAAAATAGTTAAGTAATTACCAAAAAGATGACGAATAAATATTAAAATAATATTTACATTTATATTAAAAAGTAAAAAAAAAATCTGGTACAGATATTTTTTTGCAACGATTTTGTTAACAGTCAGTTAATACTTATTTTTATAGTTATTTGGATAGGAAATACCAGAAAAACAATATTCTTCATAAATCTTGGATTAAATTGGATAAATTCACCTTGAACATAAAATTTTCATTGAAAACAGGATTAAGTGACTTCTTCTGCACCCTGGTTTGATATTTCTTTTTTTTGTCCGGTAAGAGGAATAATTTGACGTATGGATCGGAGGTACCGCCAAGGTCCATCGCTGGCAATCCATCTGCTTGGATTACAGTTACCGTTAGCTATAAATTTCATGTTCAAATAAAAATCTGAAATTATTAGTCCTTTTGATTTATTGCTTACAAATTCTCTATTATTAATCAAATTTAAATGCTTTAAGAAACGACACGTGTTATATGAAATACAATTAAAAAAGGAAGTGTTTTTTAATTCAGATCATTTTAACAAAGAAATCACTAAGAGATGACAGAAGGAGTCAAAAATAATTCTGCAGTGTCTTTTCCTTCTATCACAAAGAATTTTCATGTGGAAATTGGTTTTTCATATCCCCAAAAAAAGTAAGACCAAAGAAAATTATTTTTTTTTTTTTTGCATTACTTTTAGGAAATTTTTTTGAATTGAAATATAAATTTTTTCTTGAACTGGATTTTTCCTTCCCGTCAAATTCATTTCGATTTGGAAAAATCAATTTTACTTCCTCCAAATAAGAGAAAACAAAAGCAAATTTGGAAATATCTGCGCTAATATTAAAAAGCATTACTGAAAGTATATGAATCTAGACTAGAAGTAGTATCAGTTTCTAGCCATGAATATATATTGTGTCACAAAAAATATACATAGTAATTTCTACTTATAAATTTTAAATAAGTCCACAGAACGCTTTATAAATTTTTTATAATGTTCCTTCCGCTCCTTTCATTTTCTTTGCAATTCTAAAAATTTCCATCCATTTTGGTTAAAAGTACATCCATTAGCATAGTTTATGATTAAGCAAACAGAACATAATGAATGATATGTTTAGCTGCTATATCTGCAATCTTTCTTGATATAATTATTGATCTTGTATTCTCAACTAAAACAGTTTTTAACACTTCAAGAAAATTTATTTGCATTGGTCTATTGATAATATTATAGACCGAGGGATTTGTTCTAAAAAGGAACTTACTGAATTTCTATCGAAATCATAATCAAGTTTATAAGACAATCGTCCCAAGAATTTCTTTTCCTTTTTCTCCTCTTTTTTCTTATTTATTGATGTTGTTTTTGGCGAAACCGATTCGGGTGCTATAATGATTGGGAAAATTACTTCATTTGGATAACTTGGAAAAAAAAAAATACTTCGAATTAATATTTTCTTGGCGTTTTTTATTTATTAAATTTTAAATTTTGTTTTTTCCAAAGAAGCTAGCATAATTTTATAGCATCAGATAACATAGCGATAATAAAATAGCCCTTAGACATTCCTTAAATTTTTCTTAAATGTATCTTATTGATATTTAAAAGCATCTGATAATCCATTAATGTTAATTAGTAGCAATAGTAAAAACACATGCGTGTAGTCGTACTGCTTTTGTTCCATGAAAACATTTTTATTCAATTCATTTTTTGAACTGATAATAATCTTTAGCACACATCTGCAAATTGTGATAAATCATGATTTATCATCTTATAAATCTTATTCAACAACATTTACCGTCACGGTCAAATCTCAATTTCATTATCCTATTACTGAAATGTAATGAACCATATACAACTATATTTAAAAAGCCTGACTAACGCACAACAGTTTGATTTTTCTTTTTTTAATTTGAAAGATTCAGAGAACAAAATGCAAAATGCTCATTATAAAATTAAAAAAAAACTAAGTGTAAAAAAAGAACCAATATTTTTCAATTCCTAATAAATATTGTTCGATATGCCTTTTTTTTATCTATTATTTTCAGATAAAAAGTATTTCCCAATTTAGCTTGAATTTAATTAATTTTTATGGCGAAGACATATGGAAGATAATACAAGCGATGCGATGAATTTATAGAAATGGAAAACATTTTATATTAGCTCAGTAGTTTTATTGATATGAATATCAAGTAACAAATTTTCGTTTTCTTACAGTAATTACTTTAAAATAGCAAAATTGATTCAGATTTAGGAATCAGCAAGTTAAACAAACATAAAATTGTGTATTTTGAGAAATTTGAGAAAGGATATCCTTTCATTGGTCTTTTTAAATCTTTAAAGATTTAAGACAGAACTTCTCTATTTCAGTTTCCAAGTATTCCGTGAAATAAAATTTACCTGAATTTACCAGTCATAGAATGTAGTGCAAGATGTACGGAAATGAATTCGTAATGAGAATGGAACAAATCCAGAATACATTTTAAAAATAAAAAATATTTGTTTTAATAATTACTTTTGCATTTTATGGTATGGTAACAGATAATTATATTGTTTAAAAAAAATCTTGATCCTGGGGATTGAATTTCTCCACTGATTACATTTAACTTTCTTTTATCAGTCGTCTTTTTCTTCAGTTTATTAGTCTTTTTATTCCTATTGCTCTATTGGATCATATTTCAGGATATTTGATCACTTGATTTAATTTAAAGTGTATAAATAATTTAAATATGTAATTTCAAGTGTTTTCAAAATTTCGGCAAATTATTTGTGGATAAAGAATAAAGTGCAATTAAGGATCTTATCTGAAATGTATTCATACACTGCAACAGTGATAATAATTTTAGAAACTAACAAGAATAATAATGAAACTTTACTTTGTAATTGAATTTCTTGTTTTCAGTCTTCTCGTTACAAAAAGGAAAACAAAGAATGACATCAGATGTAGTAAAAACGTAAATTATCTTGAAATGTTGATTTTTTGCATGACTGTTCATTAATATGGGACAAAATCTTTTTACTTAATAGAAAATTAAAATAAGAAAATCTGCTAAGCATGAAATTCAACTTTTTTCTTTATGGAACAGTCTCTTTCTCTCTCAATTAGCAACCTATTTTATCGCTTGTTTTAAAGTAATGTTGATAGAATTAACAAAAATATAGATTTTATTGATGAAATAAAGAAGAAAATGAAAGATGAGGACAGGTGAGAAAAAGGGAAAGAGAGAAAATATAAAGTAGTGTCAGGATAATGAGCAAAAAAAATCCAATAAAATTCAACAAATGATCAAATTTGCTGACGATTAATCTTACTGATCATATCAAGTTGTAAATTTATGGTTTCATAAGAATAAATGAAGTTGGTAAATAGAGGAAACTGTACTTCTACTTACAGTCCATCAAATATTTTAAATTTCCATTTATTTAAACAGGTCAATCAAAAAATTTGTTGTAAACTGTCATCCATTATATATATTTTCTTTTTTATAAGTAGAAGATTGATAATTGATCAATAAAATCTATATTTTAGGATGACATATATGTCTATATGCCATCCGTTTTCTTTTCTCAGTTTACCTCTTAATCAGACCATTTTGTGACATGTGATCGGTTCCGTATTTTGTTGCATTCCTTGCGAGAGCGAACAATTAGATTTAGCAAGACTGCTTGAAGAGGAAGTTAAGCTTTGATTATTTCCTCTTTTTTTATCGTTTCTGCTTCTAAAAATAATTTTCGCCAGAAAAAAAAATATAGTTAATGGTGATAGAGGGTTGATAGGAAAGATTCACCAAATACGGATGTATTCAATGGAACAGGATCAAGATTCGATGCTTGGTAGGAACAAACGATAAATGAATGGATGGATTAGAAAACGCTTTATTTGGTTTTTAAAATTAATACATCTGTGTATAAATTTTTAAAAACTTTGCAAAGAAAACTTTTCAGTTTCCAAGATAAATGGAAAATTTATATTTAGGAAAACGTTTGTTATTAGAAAAGAAAAGCAAAAAAGTCTAATTTAACTAATATCAAAGTATAGTTGCAATTTTTTTTCATAAATCAGCAATAATCATAAAGTTCTGTTTTCCCAAAACTTTTCTTTGAAATAGTCCAGAAAACATTATGTAAACTGAAAAAGAATTGATGATAATTTCATTTGAATTGTTAATTCCTAGAAAATAGAAGAAAATACATAAATTGAAACAAATAAAAGTTAGATGATGAAATTTGGTCATATCTGAGTAAAATTTATTTTAGTTTTTCGAATGATCGAAACGTTTGCAAAAAAGAAAAGATTTAAGGACGGTTTTCTTCTCCAGAATGATTGTTCTTCCACTCATTGTAAATTAAATGGTATTACTTATCACTTATCCGTTCTTCGTCTTCCGTTGAATTCTGATATTATAATTAGAAAAACAAAGTTTCGATTGAATGCATGCTTTAGATTACCACATCTTCACAAAAAGTGTTTCAAGAGAGTTTTTAGCAGCAGCTTTGATGGCTAGAAAAAAAAATTGATAGAAAAGAGCCAAACAAATCAACAAACCGAAAGTTGGCTGAATGTCTCAAGAGATGTCACACTTGAAAGAATCAAAAAATTCTTATTTTACATTGTAGGCAAGCAAATAAGCGTTTATATGAGAGGAAAAAAAAGTGAAAATAAAGGAGACAATTCATTTAAAGTAAATGGGAATGAAATTTAAGAGTTAGTTCACAAAAGAAATTAAAAGTATTCAAAGAAATCAAGTTGAATAATCCGTTTGTAATTATAGCTGGTCACCTGAAGTACTTCATATATTTATTTGCAGCCATTATTTTTAGACACAATGTTAAATTTATTGATTAAAATGTAGTGAAATTTAATATGTAGCCATTAGAATGATTGTACTCTTCCGGATAAAATAATTTAAGTCTACTTTAAATAAAAAACAGAAAAAAAAAAAGAAAAAATTCGATTGCTAAGATGCAACTTAGACATATGCTTAAGAAAATATACAATGTTCGAATTTTCTGATTTCATAAAAAAGAAAAATCCCAGCCAAATGATGCTGATGTTTAGAAAAAAGACTTTGTGGTCCTTATTGATGTTAGGCTGAAATGATGGATGGCAATTGAATGATGGCTAAACAACCTTTTATGAAATATGGTTATATCTGAGCACTCCTCTAGATCCTAATACATTCAGCGCAATTATCGCATTCTACTTAGAAGTGTATCACACATAATCTTATGATATATCATAAAATGCATATAAAAGTTGTGAAAAATAAAACTCAAAAATGTTTAAAATGAAACTGGTACAAAGTGATACTACTACACTGCGACTATGTGTAATGCTTTGTTTATAGGCCAGGCTAGACTCATTAGATGTTTAGGTCTTGACCATATTTATATGCATGCATCTTTTCATGGAATTAATTAAACAGCGCCATTGGTATGCACCTAAAAGCGTAAGGTGTAATAAGATTAAAGTATAAAATAAATTGAATATTAAATTAAGTTTCAACGGAAGTATTCAAAACAAGACTAGGCCTATTAAGGCTCATTCAGGTGCTAACATCATCGGCATCATCTTGGCAAATAAGCACAGTAAAACATGCAAATTTCAAATTAATAAGGCAAATGACTTGAAGAACTGAGAAGAGATGCGACTGTGATGTTTATGAATATGTCTGTGTGCTTTTGCTATAGTTTCGGTATATAACAGATGAAGCTTAATAAGGTTTGTTTGTTGAGTGAATGCTTCTTTGTCTTATAATTCCTATCCATCTATGGTGCATATGTCTATGGACGGATGTTGGTGGCTGTTAGACATACATTCATTCATTCATTCATTGGCTTCAATGATCGGCATCTAATGGCTTGGGTCCAAGTTGAAAATGGTTCAACTAGGGCAATCAATATTTAAGTAAGAGTCTGAATGAAGCCTATTACTACTCTATATATTACTTCTATTGGAAAAGTGTGAATGTGATGTGCTACCGATAAATGAAGAGCAAAGTGCGGAATGAATATGTCCGAAAAGATAAACGAGAAAAGGGAGTACAAGTGAATTCATACCTTCTTCTGAGAGGTATGTTTGTGTTAGCGGGAAAAACATTTAGCTTTGAGTAAGCGGTGATGAGAAGCTCAGCTAAACACCATTTAATTTGCGCGGATTTCATTTAAGAACGAAGTGTTTTCCTTTTTATCACAAAATTGTCTTTGGAGTTGTAATATCAAACGTAAAATATGAAGGATCTACTCGGAATAATCAATTGCAAATCAGTTGCATATCAGAAGAACCGGAAAATCTCATTTTATAACATTCAGATATTTTTAGCATAGTCAATATGTCACATCAGATGAAATTCGGAGAAGATAAACTGCACACGAAACATTTTATAAATGCATTTATTTGAAATTTATTTCATTACCTATTTTTTATGTAATGGAATATCGGTTAGATGTATCTTAGTTAACGCAGCGTTGAATACGTAGGACTTATTTGAATTTAAATTGTTACGTGATACCATTTGAAAGTTCATACATCTTATAGCATATTTGCATGTTAAGCAACAAATATCTATGTAAAAATACCAGTGCTAACGACGCCTCATAAAATATTATGTATGCTAAATCTGTTTTACACTATGGTTCATTTAAAAGTCAAAGATTTATTTTCCACAAAGTAAATTAAGATCATTCTCTAAGTTAAATAAAACCCAACAATTATTTAGTGCAGTAATTTATATTATATGCTAATTTATATTCTGCTAGTTTTACTTTTGCAAATGTTTCCTTATAAATTGTAAAAGGAATGAATATATGAGGATATATCAGTTTGCAAGATCATTTCATCAATAACTTAAGGTTCTTTGCTTTTAGTCTTAATGAGATATCATACTTGGATGATATATTATATACTAATTTATATTCTGCTAGTATGATACTATATAACTTGCCGATATACAAATTTATCACAATATTTTTGAATGCTTCGAATTCTCTACTATTTGTTTCTGAAGGAAAAATAAAATGAGGAAGATGGCATAAATGTATTATTCATCGGATACTATTGTATAGTCTGCAGCAGCTAACCAAAAGGCATTTCCTCATCTGAAAGTAATGAAATTCTCACATATTGTCAATGAATAGCAGTGGAGAGAAGTTGAATATGAAATGGAAACGTAGCGAATAGTATTTGAATGATATCAAAACAATTTCAACCACTGATACATACCCATGGACTGTACACTATCGATGAGCAAGCAAAGCATTTCTTATTTTCTACAACAATTCTGAACGAAAATTGGTCATTTCTTGCAAGAATTTTTGTGAAGTCTGACTAAAAAAAGTCAAACTTTATAATTACATTTTTTCTATTTTTCCATTAAAATTTCACAAATTTTTTTTCGTTCCTTGAATGTGCTATTGCCATGATTGTAATTGCCTGCAATCATCACTTCTGATCCCATCGTCTGAATAATGTGGCAACGATCTGTACTGTTTTTATTTTCCGCTAATATCCTGCTTTTCACATTTGAGCTGGGAATTAATCAAATGGATTTTTGTTGTTCGAGTACTTGTTGTTGCTCACTCTGTACTGCAGAGCAATGTCAATTAGCAGATCAGCCGGGGTATATTTTCAATGTATTAAATTCTTGCGTCCTCCCCATCGATCTGTTTGTAATTATTTTAAATTAGTGAATCGTTATTATAACAAGAGGGTGTATTTTTCATCTATTCATCGTTCTTCTAAGACATAAATGTACCAGATTCTATGTAGTGATTGATTCTTGTGATCCGTCTGGTAACACCTAAATAATATTAATATTAACACATACAATCTACTTCACATTATAACAATTAGCAAAAGTTCTATAAAAATTTCAGAAAACAATGCCGGTGTTATAACACAACCAATGTAACATGCTGGAGATTCAGAAACTCTATTTATAAATCGGAACCCATTGAATTACCGGAGAAAATGCAAATTTTTTCTGTGTTACCAGAACAACCTGTAATGGCGCAAGTAGTACCAGTGGGTAGTATCACGGGAATGGACATTGATCCGTTATGTTGTGTCGTTGGAAATTGTCCAGTTTGGATAAAATGCAAACATTCGTTAAATGTAAGACGGGATCAATCAGGTGTTCATTGCTGTTTAACAATCATTTTATCATTCTCGAAGTTTATATAAGTAAACATGAGAAACTTTCTATCTAGACATGAAGATGGAGGTTAAATAATGTTAAATTACGAAAATGATCCCTAGAAACTTGAATGAACTGTTGGCACTTTTTTCAAAGACTGAGTCCTTAATTTTGATGCATCCTGGTATGTTAGTTAGTAAATCTGTTCGGGACTAAATCGAATTTTCGTCTGCATTTTACCAGATCAATGTTTCGTCTTGATAGGTAAACTGTGTCATATGCGCTAGAAACACGAATATTAACTGATAAATCAAACTTTCAGATTAAAAAGATAAGGTATAGAAATAAAGAAATAGTGATATGACAAATTTTTACTGTTTAAAAATGAAAACGACCTAATGAAGACTACGAAACAACGTCTGATAAGAACTTTTTATAAAAAATAGAAGTCTGATAAGAAAGCTTGATTTCAGTTGTTACATTCATATCAATACTTATATACATTAGCTGACAGATTAAAGTCAATCAATAATCTTTATTACCATGCTTTTTAAAATTTTACTTTGATTTTTTATTTTTCAAAACATTTCTGTGACTGATTTACTAATTTGTTTTTAACCAATATTTCATGATGAAAAAGAAAGCAAAATTTATTTTAAAAAAATATATTTCACTTTTTTTAGCATTGCAATCAATGCCAGTGCCACTGTTTATCGTCGCTTGCATACTATTCGTTTTGATTATCATTACAACGATTGGCCTTTGTATCGCAGCTAGTTTGTATATCAATGATTCATATAAACATAAACGACGAAATTGTAACATTTACGATGAAACTGCAAGATATTGAAGGAAACGATATTTTTAAATTTCATTACTTTTTATCGCTCTTATCGATTGCTCTGTATATAATTCCCGATAAATTCCTTTTAATTTTTTTCATTTTTTATAAAAAATACCATTATGTAATCTATTAAATTCTGCAAATTTTATTTCCTTCTCTTTTCATAAGATTTATTCACTCCAAAATTACCATCTTAAACATTTTTTTTTTAACTTTTTTTTTTTTTTTGATTCACTCATTTTGTGATGTAATAGTTGTGGGAGAATTCTGATTGGATGAAATTTTAGATATAACGAAAGTTCCTGGGGAACTTTTCCTTAGTTTTTGATTTCTTTGTAATCGAATGATAGGAAATATAAAATAAAACTGATTAAAATAATAATTTTTAGAATCAAATATCAGCCCACTTCTCACATATTTCTAGAAGATATTTTCCACATAGTCTTTCTATTAATACGATTGATAAAAACATCTGCTATGTAAATGTTTTTAATACTTTTAATAATTAATTAATAAAGTCTTTGCATGACGCATATTCTTTAACAATTCCGTCCTAATATAGAATTGTGCCATTTACACTACTTACTAATGTGCCGCAGAGAAAGAAGTTTGTAACACTATTTCTTCCATATGATGGCACATTATTAACTTTAAATGACTGGTTTGACTTGTTTACTCAACCTTTTCAGTATTGATGACCCGTTGGTGTTGTTTATTTCTAAGTTTAGTTACAGCACTTCACATTCCCCAGTAACTCATTAAAATAGTGTCGTTTCCACCACTCATTTTTTATTACCTAGAAATATTTTTTACAATAACCGAAATCAAACTTTTCTCATTTAAGAAATATCGTTGATAAATAGTGTAGTATTTTGTGTTCGTCTCCTCCTGCTGAAGAAATTATTCGAAAAAAAAAAAAGAGCAAAAACTTCATTTTCTTCCACAATTATATGATCAGATGTTATTCGTCGAGGTTATGTCGTATTAAAAAATTTACTGCAAATGAAATGAATTTATTGATTGAACTACCAACAGCTGAAATAATTTCGATCTTTTTTAATCTGTTTCAGATGTTGATGCACGTGAGAAATACACTGAGTTTTGATTTCTTATTAATTATTGTAATTGCTATCCTGTTCCATTTATCAGGTTCATTTTGAATTTAAACAGGAAAAGTGCTAAAACCATGGATGAGACCAGGAAGACTGACATTACATGATAGTGGTTACATCAATACTGTTAAGATCTGTACGTATTTGACACGATCATTTTTGAAACCACGATTGCTGTAAAACTATATGATAATTTTAAAATTATGTATTGGACATGATAGAAACAATTTTTAAAAAAGTATTTGTTATAAGCTAACAATGATCCAAATGGCAAATAGAAAGTCGAGTTTATTTTCAAATGATTAATTGCAGTTGTCACTGTTTTAAAAATTAACAGTGATGATTTGAAAATCTACTATCACTGTTATTTATCTGTCCAAATACAGAAAATTATTTTCTTACTCGTTTATAGTCCCTACTTTGTTTTTATTTTATTTCCATTAAAATTAAAAACAACTGCGAAAAATAACATAAAACTTCGACTGATTATTATTACAAAAAATTGGTTACGTCGTTAGTTTGATCATTGAAGTTTCATTTTCAGACTGTGCAACGATATGTTATGTTGGAAGAAATTTCAAATATATAAGCCGATCCTGTGAAGGTGGCGGCAGTAGCTCGAAGGAATTTGTATGTCAGAAATTCATTTGTGAAGGAGGGAAGTGTAAGTTCTTATTTTCCAACAAATTTCATAATCTGTTGCACTTATAATTTCAAAATTGGTGCAAAAGTAAGACTTCTAAAACGATGTCAAATCACTTCCCTCACCAATTAATTCCTGAAATTTAATTATATTTTTTCCAGTCTGAAAGGTTACAAAATAATGAGTTGACAAAATATCTGACTGATAAAATTTTCTGATAATGATAGAACTTTTAAACGTGTTAGTGTCAACAAAAATCATCAGGAAGAAGTAATTTTCAAACATTTCAGCTCCATTTGTATTACGAACATGTGCAAATAAAAGACTCGGATGTTTGGCAGGTCCAGCAATTTGTCGTTTTAGTGGTGGTACCGGTTCCTGCGTTCGATGTGACAAGAATAATTGCAATTTGTAAAATGTGACAAGCATTCTTTCTTCTAACAAAAAAAAAAAAAAATAAAGAATACTTGCCCAATTTCAAAACCGACCGCAAAATATAAAAAAAAGAAACTAACAATTTTCATATTTAAATGTTAATTGCAATTCATTTGTTATGCATAAGATAAGATATCGCGCTTTCTTAAAATCCATTATTATAATTACAAATAGTTAGATTGAGAGGATACTTCACAAAAAATCCACAAACATAAAGAATTTCGATTAGACTTAGAAAATAAAGTCTTGTCTCATTCTTCCCGTGCTAGTTCAATCTATTTATTGGCGTTTCTTTTCTGTATGGGGACGGATTCGTGATTTTCATTTCGACTCAAGCAAACTCCATCATTGTTACTCAACAAGATGAAGCGAATCTCAGCAATCCACACATGAGCAAATTGTACATCGCTGATTAGTCGTGATATTACTAATCAATGGACATTTCGCCCAATACTGCGTCGTAGATTTAGTGTTTTCTTTTTATTGTTCTTGAATGTTACAATAATTTGTTAAAGTTTTAAGCGCCCGTAAATCTCTTGAAGTTATACATCTTTTGAGTTTTTCTGTTCTGTTCTGTAACTTTTCATTCCAGTTTAATACTGAAATTTATTTGCAATTGCAAACTGTTGTAAATAGTTGCATATATAAAGGAACAAGAACAAATAATTATCAGCAAACTTCCTGTCTCTCGACTTACAACAGTTGTACGCTTCAATTAGCAATAACTCAACTGATTCCAATTCACTTTTCTACAAACTACGCGAAGAAAACCAAGTTGATGATCAATTCTATTTTGGATATTCTCTGATTATTGTTTATAATTGTAATTATAAACAATAAATCCTCCTCCAATTATTCATCTGTTTTAAAAAAATGCCTTCATCAGGTTCAAGCAAAATTTGTTGGGAACAATATCTGATAATTAAATGGAAAAAGAAAGCGGAACTAGACAAGAAAACTTAAAAAACTTCCTGATGAAGTGAAAATCTTGGATTTAATGCTTAATAAATCAACAGCTACAAGAGAATTACTCCAACAACTGAAGACAAGAAGAAAAAATACAACGTATCCAACTATTGGCCCTCTTAAAGTTTTGTTTTGTGGTCATTTTTATGATCAGTTTCCAAGTTCCATATGATTCACAGTTAGAATGCTAACTGCAGAAGCAAGTTTCATAACAGAAGCAACGTAAATATATTACAATTACCACTACTTACATTTAGTCGCGATCTGAAACTATGGAAACAATTCTGAAATAGTTTTGACTTCTCCTCAAAAGAGATTCATCAACCGTTCAGTGCTGCGAATCGCTTCGCGAAATTCTGAAGTTGTAAAGTATTGATCAAGAAATTTTACGAGTTATCTATTATTGAAGATCAATTACAAGTCATTAAACGAAGTGATTGAGGATGAAAATTAGCAATCGAAGCATGGGAAGAATCTTTCGACAATTAAGAATAATAAGTAAGCATTCCGGTATTGAAGCTATTACAGGAAGTAAATTACCAGAGTGGGTAATAAGCAAAGAACGCTAACAAAGATGAAAACAAGAATTTTGGTCGTTACATAAACCCCGACAATTTCTGAAAGAATCACCTCGATTGGGTAAACGAAAAAATTTAGTGCCATTATGCCTTCCACTGCAGAATAAGCAACATGCTGTGCTTTTCAGCAACTATTCAAGTTGATACGGCAGAAAATATTCTACACCTCCATTTGAGTGGCTCTGTGATTTTTTTATCTGGCCGACAAAGTCTTTATGTCGGGAATTTGTTTGGCTAATAATGAAGTCTTTATTATTGTTTGGTGATGCAAACGAATAATTATAGAGCAATTAGTTGGAAGTCAAATATTACTTCGACTGAGCAGGAGTACTGAGAGGAGTCAAATCAAAGGCTGCTTACGCTAAAAACTGGGTGTTAATTAATAACCAAGGAATTTCAGATTAATTGATAATGACATTTTTACAGCATTTCTTCAATGCATGCAAGACTAATTGCAATTTGGAAGATAAAAGTGTTTGATGGTTATTCATGATAGAAGTTTAAATGAAAATTATCGTTGATGAAACAACTGTTAATGTTTATTAAGACAATCTTTATCTTATGGATTTCTGTCTTACATAGCTAACAAATCGCTTCGAAATCTGAAATCGCTCCGGTTTTTCCGACACCTTGTAGCTAGTTAATTAACACAAACGAGTAATCGGAATTTATTGATCAACATTATAAGGTTACTCGATAACACAAGTAGTTGATCATAAAAGAATTTGGTTGGGACTAATTGGAGGTTGACGTTGAAGCAAAGATTGATCGGATGTAGAGGAAATAATGTAGATGAAAAGAGTCGAATTGAAGCTTGTCGTTTATAGATATCGAGTTTTATTTCTTATATAGTGGGCGTTGACTGCAAAAGGGACCTTTGCAAATGAGTTAATCAATGATTAGACACAATGGCTTTTTTATAGCATAATATTCTTTAGTATGATATTCCTTTTTATAATAATTAAATTTGGAAGAGTTTAGTATTTATTCAGAACAGAGTTTACATGAAACAGTCGTTGGTTGCAGGAATATTCAATCTTTATGATAAATTTTCATTTACATACCAATTATTTCTACGTATTGTAATATCACTTCTGCTTTTCCGATATTTTCTATTGAAGGAAATAAAGACTTTCAGAAGCAAGAACGTGGGGATTATAATTTAATTGATGGATGATTATAATTTAATTGATGGATAATTTTTTTTAGCGCTGCTAGCTGGCAGAATAATAAGTTCTTGTTCATCGACTTTCTGAACTGATTTATCGAACGCTATTAGTCAATTTTTTGAATTCCTTTCACTGTTGATTTCCAGGGAGTACAACATATTTGTTAGTCGTTTGAGGAGTCTCATGGCTTTTGTGGCAGTTCTGTTACGGTTTTTCTTTTCCAGCTTTCCCTTTTTTAATTTCTTTTATTCTTACTAATTTTCATATACCGCGAGGAGCTTCCAATTCATTTATCAATATCATTTCGCCCTCATGTTTGCATCTCTACATTTTTCGGATAAAACTAAAAAGAAACGAACTCTCAGACTTGTTAAGTACTTCCCACATTTCCCAGAGTGTATCAGGAGTTCCTAGAGTATTTAAGCAATATCCGACAAATTTTTTTTTCGTCTTAGCATTTGGTTTACGAGGAGTAAATTCGTCCTGATCATTGTCAGTATATGAAATTGCGTATTATCTTACCAATCATCGAAGTTCAGTAGTCGCCTATTTACATATATCAATATATATCAATAGCCGCCTATTTAGTACATCTTCGATATCTAAAATCAACGTTATGTATGAATTCTCTTTCACATAGTACAGGCTAGGAAGCATGTTCTATGATCTCTTCGCAAAATAATGTTTATAACCCAAACTCATTGTTTCCAATCTTATGTTTATATTGTAAATTCTTTATACATCGGTTTCAATAATGTCTATTCCTTAAACTCTTTGTTTCCAATCTTATGTTTATACTCTCTACCTTCCAATTACAACAAAGCTCATGTGCAACGTCGGAAATGTTGTAAAGTTTTCTAATTTGTAATCGTGCTCACGTGAATTACCGGAACACTGTAAAGGAAGTCTTGTGCATTGTCAGAATGTTCTAAAGAAGTCTTTGTATCTAGTTACTGATAAACTAAAATGCTTGTGGCAAATTTTGCTAGCATCAGGATGTCTTCCTAAGTTACTGAAGATGAAATCACCCTGTTGCACGAGGGATAGGCTCGCCAAGTTAAATATGGATGAGTCCTTTCTGATAATCAATGACCTGAAATGAGGTTGCGTTCTCGCATCAACATTATTCTTTAGCATAAAGAAAACGGTATTTACATTCGATACCATGCCGACGGCATCTTAATCAACTCCAGTGACTGACTAAAGGACTATCATCATCTTTGTTCCATCTTTGTTCTCCCGGCTTGAGACGATGCCGACTTCGTTGCCGACACTAAGCGTCTTTGCATGCATAATTTTCTTTGCAGAAACTGCAGAGCTTTTAGACCGAAACTTCAGCTAAACTAAAATAGCCCAATGGTCGGTATTATTCTCCTCATATTGTTATAGGTTTACCCATCAAACTGAGACACTCTATAGCATTTTCGATATTGCGAAATATTGGAATAAGCTTAGTTGTAAATTGGACGATAAGAGTTAGTTATCTGAACAATTTTGAATAAAGCAATTGTTTTTCTTAGAAATATTTATTTACATCAGCTGTTTTGACATATTACAAAATCACTTTTGTTTTTCCGACAGCCACGTTAGAGGTTTTTAAATTAGTACAATTGGTGTCGATCAGACAAACGAAACAACGATGACTAGAAGAATTTACGAAGATCAAAGAGTCCAGGAAGTTATCATTTATTTGGACATTCGATCGAAAGGTTAACAACAGGCTAACAACATACACAAGGCGTTCGGGAAACTTCAAAAAAAAGCATGGAGCAACAAGCACCTGAAGAAAAACACCAAAATAGTGTTTACTGAGTTGTTTACATTCATTATACTGCCTGTTCTGTATAGATATGAACTACGGGTCTCTTTTTAATTTATCTAAATCTGAAAGGCAAAAAAACAAGGGTTTTCTGAACTTTTTGCTTTCTTTACCGAATACTGAATAGCATTTACAGATTAATAATAAAAATTTTGATTAAATTAAATGAACGCTTACTGCACGAAAAAAAAACTAGAAATTATTATTAACATGAATTCTTGCGGGTAATGATGGATCTATTATGACACGTAGTATATCTTTCAATATATTGGCTACGTACATATAAGTTGTTCCTACTTCTCCTGGTCCTCCATGCTTATTAACTGGTCCCAATTTACTTTCTTTTCCCAAAGATGTAAATCATGAACAAACTGTCTAAATAGCAAAAAATAACTTCTTAAAAAAAAAAAAACTATTCTTTAATTCATTATGATAATTAATTAAATAT